CTCTCTCTCTCTCTCTCTCTCTCTCTCTCTCTCCAAATTCCTCTTAAATGGATGGGAAAAGACTTATGAGAGACATATCAAAGCCAAACATATAGAAAGCTAGCCTTCATGTGCTGCTAATAAATAGGGCTTTAAAATAGATGCAAATTTAAAAATACTTAAGCTTTTTATATAATCGACGGTTTGTTTACACTTTCAATACACTGTTTAACCGACGAATCGATTAAAATATTTTATATAATAATAATAAACATGAATATAATGTTGACGGAAACTATTATTATAAAATTTTTGTGTATTTTAATGGTAAAAACTACATAGTATTTAAAAATATATATTTTATATAGATTAAGCATGATTAATTGCAATATGATTATTCAATGAATTTTATTTGAACAAATATATTCAATTAAGTTTAAGTAAAACAAGAATTAGAATAAATGACATTTTGATTATGAATTAGCATGTTTGACTAACAATAATTGTAAGTAAAATATTCTACCCTGTTGCAAATGTTATGGAAAACTCTATATTGCCTTTCTAACCAAGTTATTAAGTAAATGCATGTAATGTATTTAAGAGCCAATATTACGGTAGATTAGGCTAACAGATCATTAGTGTCTATTTATAACCATGTGCAAAAAATAACCACAGCATTATGCATGATAATTTTCACGGGATTTGTGTGAATAGTATAAAAGTATCACTTTTTACAGACTAATTAATTTTCATATTTTTTGTTGACTGTATTTAAAACACATTTAATTAAATTTATAAATAGACTGAAATGTAAAAAGTGAGGCAAAAAATCTTTTTTAAATGTCAATAACAACTGTAAAGTCCTTCAAAATAATAACAAAAATCTATATATTTTTATAATTATTAGTTTATTTGGCAAAATCTATAAACGGTTTTAATTATTGATTGGTTATTATATTTAATTAATTTTAAATTATGTTTTTATAGTATAAATATATTTATTATATAAAGATAAATTTTATATTACATGAAAATATATTATGCTATAGAACAGAAATACTTTATATAGTAAATATGAAAACATGATAATTTTAAAACACAAAACATTGAAATGAATGTGGAGTACAATACACTCACATTTAGTGATAATGACTTTCAAATCAAATGTAATTTTAGACCACAAAAAACATTAACATTTGGTTTTTGATTGTGAATGACATTTGCATTTCAATGCCTCGGTTTTGAAAACATTTCTTGAAATGTTTTATACATTTGTGATGTCTTTTGTGTTGATATCTATTTCTGTGGGTTTTTTGAGTGCACTTTCCGTTGAACTCAAAAACGCCGACACTTTTGTCGCCCAAAACATATATTTTATAGTATTTTTAAATCTTATTGAATGATATGTTGTTTTGAAATTTTATTTCACATTTTACATATATTTTATAATGTAATAACTTATAAGTACTGAATATTTAAAACTATAGCAAATAATAATTTTTGTTACATAAATATTTAAATAAGATGAATATAGTTTTATAACCTTGTTAATTATTTTGGTATTTAATTAATATTTTAATATCGCTGCAACAATTTAATAATAAATGCATTACATTTAATATTTTAAATTTTATAATCTATTTATAGTTTAAGTTATAAACAAATTAAATATTAAAATATTTCCAGAAATCATTGACAGAGATATTAAATTTCTTAGAAATAAATAAAATAGTTTTATAATAATTTTTGCAGAGATTTAATAAATATATTTATAAATAACAAGTTTTAGTTAAAACACAAAATTTTTGAAATAACTTTCGTCTAATTTCATGTAATAAATGAATTTTAAATTACTTTTAATATTAGATTATAAATTATTTAAACTTTATATTTATATTTAGAAAGATGTAACATTTTTAAATTAAAAATATATATAAAAACTTTTTTGTAACAAATCATATGACAATTTATATGATTTATAAGTTATAGCAAATTGTCATATGTTTTGTGTGAATGTGATTATATATTATTATAATTTATATGTTTACAATATATTATAAATATTGTTTTAAATAAACTAGACAATATTTTTTTGGCACTAATACATTTACTATGATAATCAAAGTTATTGCAACATATTATTTGCAAAATATAATTTTTTGTGTAAAATATTTTGAACTATTGGTAGAAATGATATATAGGTGGCCTACTGTAGATAGAATTGTGAAATTAATTTTATAATTTAGGTTGACATTCATAGGCACCTTGATCAAAGTTTCATAAAGATAGAATGAATAGTTTTTAAACAAGACATTTTCAAAATATATCACTTATTTTAATGTATTCCTATGGATTTAGGTTTTGTATTTACCCATGGTTTAAATTATCGTTAAATCTATCATGCTTAAATATTAATAGAGAAAATTTAAAACTTTGCCTTGTTTGAGACAGAAATATAACGACTGGCTTTGAATGCTTTTGTATATAATTTAAACTTTAAATTAAATTATTTAAACATTTTTGATTGTATTTTTCATGTAGTAATAACATTAATGTTTGTATGTTTTGTCACACGTAAAATACACTACATTTACGAAAGTATATAATTATCAAATTATAAATTATGAAAAAATTATACTGTATTTGTATTTAAAAATTCAACATTAAAATCATAAAAACATATAAAAACTTTATGTAAATTTTTTTTCTAACAATTCATATGATTTATAATAATTTTAAATATTCAAATGTTTTGTGTGAATGAAATCGCATTTTATTATAATTTATGTTTATCAATATATTATAAATTGTAGCTAAAAATAAACTAGACAATATATTTTTGGCGCTAGATACATTTAAGATGATAATCTATTCCAAATAATTTACCACAAGTTTAACCATTTGTTGCGAAATGTTTTCATTTATTTATAAAATACAAAAACTTGTGATTTATAGCAGACTTTCCCTCAGAAAAAAATATTTTTAACTCAAAATTTAGTAATAATTTTATGCGAAACTAAATAAAAACAAAACTTTTATTTAGTTTTAATTTTAAATACAATTTAAATAAAAAAAACTATTTTTATACATAAAAAACTTTGTTTATTATATAACTTGGGTTTTAAAAATAGTTATATTTTGGTCTAAAACTTTTGGCTAACTGTTTAAAAACATATTTATTGTAATTTTCACTTTTTAACCAAAAAATCCTATGTTGTTGTAAAGTAACAAAACGAGAAACAACTGTCATAATGATAAATGTCATTTCAGTTTCAATTTATTCAATCAGGAATAATAAATGCATTTTAAAATATTTAAAACAAATAACAAAAACACTGAATAAAAACTATTTCAAAACATTATAATCGCATCGCATGGAAAAAATCCTGCAAAATATACATAACATGAGTGAAAATGACAGCAAAATTAACAATAAATTAATTAACACAAGCGCTATATTAATCCAATAGACAACCTGATCATTCGCATCGGTAGTCAGACCACACTCGCCCTCCCAATCGGTGGGTATCATATCATTTGCCGCCTCAATAAACATAGCATAGGGACAGCCATTAACACCCCCACAATCAGGTATACGTAGCTCATAGGGCTCCGGGGCCTCAACACGTGAATCATTATAAAAATAAAGTCTAACAAAATGCTGTCCACTTTGACCCTGGTGCAATTCAACAAACAACGTGGCACTCAATGGGACGATCTCGTTGTTAAACACCCCCAACGCGTGCATCAACACAGCAAGGGTTGAGTCGTGCGTTGAATACAAGTATAGTTTTGGCCGCAAACTGTTTGCCGTAGAGTTAACGTTGACAGCAAGATTCATGTTACCCACCAATTGGGCCAATAGGGGTCCGGCCCTAAGCCTCTCCACAACACTACTGTCCCATTCAGTCACCCATAAAAGTCGGGTTAAGGGCTGAAGTCTGGCCAACACTTGGCGCTCGTACTCACGACTCCACACTCCCTGATCCGACCATTTGTAACCCCGATCATACTCTGTCACTAAATGATCATACACGTTTTTGGCATCAAGGGTGGTCTGGATGCTTTGGCCAAACACCTTGCTTAATTGTGCCAAAAATGCTCGCTCCGGGGCCAGTGCCTGTTGCACTCTCCCGGAGCTCTCTATGGCGTCCATAGCGTTGTCTACTGTCGGACAGTAGGCCTCCGTACGCAACACCCGGTCCTCATCCATGGGAAGGTATGTTTCCACTGGTATTGGTTGCCAGTACTGGCCTACCAATGCCGCCGCAGACCCATTAGCCCATTGCCTGTCGGTGTTGTTTGGCGGGTAAGCGCCGGCCAATAGGCTGGCGGCCGACTCCAGGCACCGGGTTTTGGCCGAACTCCGAGCGTACACTTCTCGCGGGTTGTATTCATCGCCTAAATACTTGTGGTAATTGTGCCGCACGTATTGACCCATACGGTACATGTGGTACCGGCCCTCAGGTGACAGTTGGCCCAACCCTTCCGACCAATATTGGGTCAGGTTTTTGGTGTAGGGGTCGTTGCGGTAGACTTTGGTGACGGCCCGGTCTCCGTGTCTGTGCACCACTTGTAGTAGTTTTAGTGTTGATATGTCGTGGTTTGGCCATGAAATTGATGTCGGTATTAATAGGCATAATGTGTATATAATAGTAAGTGTTGAGGCAGCCATTAATGTAGTTTTAATTAAATTATTTAAACATATTTGATGTTTTTGTTCAATAATAAGTTAATATTAATAACATTTATGTTTGTATGTTTTTGTCCGACATAAAATATTAATACATGTACAGAATGTCTATGGAAAATGTGTTTATTTTTGTATTTTTATCATCATTAAATGTTAGATTATAAGTTGCCCTTACAAAATCGCTCTTGTGTTATCTCTCTCAAGTGTTTGACATTATTATACAATATATATATTAATTTTGGACTATAGTATGTATAGTTTGTAGGATTAATTAAAAGTTATTTGAATTGTTTTTAATATTACGAATCACAAGAAATTAAGTTTTCATATTGCTACTAAAATTAACAATATTTTACATTTATAAATTATAAATGTAATTAAGATAAACAATTTAATAGTTTTATACTTGCGTTTAATAAACATGCTTTACAATTATTTATTAATTTAAAAAAAAACTTAAATGTTAATTACAGACTGAAATTGCATTACAAATATTACATGAAATAAATGTCTTATTAAGATAAAAATAAAAATCATAAAACACTAGTCTAAATGAAATGACATAGTTGTTAAAAATATAAAAATGCCTTAAATAGTTATAACTTATAATTGTTTAATAAGTTGTCCAAAACCGAGAAACAGTGAGTCGGCGGGTCTTATATGAGGGTCGGAAGGCAGTGGTGGGAGTCGTGAACACCGGTCAGACTCCTGGTCATAATCACCGCATATCATATTCAGTGTATTGCCAGCCATAGCGTCCATATATCGGTCCAATTGATCTAGTTGTTTGCTGGTGCAAACGCTGGGCCCACTATACTGTGCGCCCCCTTTCAATATACATGCCTTGAGTTCATAGAAGGCGCTGTAAAACAAAATTGTTTAAATTATTTTTTTAATAATAAGTAGAATTATGTTGGTAAAGTTAATTTAATTTAAATAATTATCTATGTCAACTGTATTAACTGCATTGTATTATAAATTAATATGTATTGTTTATATAGATTACAATACAATCTAACGCATTTTACTAACTTAAATTAAACTAACTTAAACAATACTGCAATAAGTAAACACGATGTGTTAAACATAACAACAGCCATGATCATACCAGCATCCATGGGGCACTCTATACCGTTTGACAGGCACGTGGTCAGCCCTGCCCAGGGCCAACAAAAACTCATTCATACACCGATTGCTGTGCGCACGTAAGCCGTTCCCACACGAGGCCATCGCAACCAATTGGTGCCTCTTCTCGGGCCGAAAACAGTAGTTCCTATCGTTGAACCGTACGGTAGACAACATGACAGTAGCGGCCGACCGGTGCAGCCCGTGTCGGCACCGGTCGGTAAAGTCCTTAACGCACTGTATTAGGCGCGGGGTCTCCCGGCAGTGGGCGTCCAACTGGAGGTCCGTTTCGGGCAATAGTCGCGAGTTATGGCCCGCGAAGAACAGCCGTTCGGCGCACAGGTATGCCCGCAGTCGCCGCTCGTCCCCGCAGTCCGCCTGCTTTCCCCGACCGGAGCCCTGCGCTGTTGTGGCCACTGAATGGGTGTAAAATAATTAATATAATGTATATTATTATTAAGTGATTAGTTTGGTGTGGTTTGAATGCTTACCTGAAAAACATATGATAATAGCGTTGATATACAGACACATTGTTTTATGATTGTTATACATAATTAGTTTTAATTATAATGATTTACGCTTTTATAACAACAGTTAACGACTTTTAATTACAGTTATATATTTAACATACAATATGTGTGGTTACAAGTAATGAATTACAATTTTTAATGACTGATCACTTGATAGTAAAATTGAAATTTGATGTGAAATATCATTCCTTGGAAATAACACAAAGTGTTTTCACCATTTATTTAATGTTTTCAAACATGATTTAGGGATTAAGTAGATTAAGGGATTAAACATTGAGTTTTTCACACCCAATGATACATTCATAGGTATTGTTATTGTGTTTTAAATGTTTTGGTGAATATAAATGTAAAATAAATTATTTTAAATAATATTATATCATTAACAATAAGTTTGTTAAATTAAACTTGGTAACATTTAATCAAGCAACATATTATAAACTGTTTATGTATGTGTAAAAGTGAATTGTTTTATGAACATGAGAGAAATAAATTGATATTTAAAATTAATAAAATTTTCCAAACATCCGTATGAATAAATTTCTATTGAAAATTGAGTATTTAAAACGTGGTACAATTAAACGCATGAAACCAGATTAAACCTGTTCAGATTAGTACAAGTGTATAAGTGAAACAGATATTTAAGCTTTCCACTCAATCTTTAGACAAAATTATGGTTAAATACAAATAGATTAGTGAATTAATATTTATCATTTTGGTGTTGTTTTGATAGATTATCATGGTCAACATCTTTAATTTAAAAACATACAGTACATATTAAAGTGTATTTATTTTCCCACATTTTAGTGTACAATATTTTGTGGCAAAGTTTTTAAGAAAATGAAAAACAAATATTATTTGTCAAATCTGTTAGGATTAACCATCTGTAAATTAACTAGCTATGTTTGTATAACTTATGTGAACATGATTTAAAATCTAAATTCTAATAGGACTAAAATTACAAAACTACAATCGGACTAGAGTACGATAATTAAATCTACTAATAAACAAATTATATTATTCATATTAAATATTTAATACATAAATCGTATACAATTTTTTACCAAAATCTAACACTTTTCAAAACAATACTAAACATTTAATATTTAACCATTATCAAAATTAAGAGAGAAACTCGGTCACTTTGACTTGAAATGGCGAGCCGGGTATATGGGTGTCGGCAATCTTGATGTTCATGGTGTATATTCCGGGTGATGTGGGTTTGTAGCATATTTTGAACGTGCCATTTTTATTGTCCTTGATGTTTAATTGGGCCGACGATCGCTCTGGGCCTTTTATTTGTACTTTGAGGCCCCCTATTACTGGCTTCACCATTGAACAGTCCACTACAAACTCGTTCATTTTAAATGCCTTACCAAGCTCGTATGCCTTACCGTGTAATTCTATCTGTTAAAATGAAAATCAGCAAAAAAATATGGTAATTATTGTTTATGGTTATGTATTTATATTTTTACAAAATACAGACTTTTTCGTTCTTGATACTTTAATTTTTAATTTATTCTCATTATAAGTTATTTGTAATAATCATTATTTATACTAATTTTAGTTATTTATTTATCTTTTGCAGAGAATTAATAAATAAAATTCATATTAATTAATAACAATGTTAAATAAATTTAATGTATTTTAAAGCATTAAAACTGATGAATATTTGATTTCCATCAAGTTATTTATTTAATATTTGATAAAACTAAACAAATGAGTGTTGAGTGACNTGTATTTTAAAGCATTAAAACTGATGAATATTTGATTTCCATCAAGTTATTTATTTAATATTTGATAAAACTAAACAAATGAGTGTTGAGTGACATTAACCGAGAAATGATGTTATTTTTAAATCATATTCACTGCAAGTTTTTCATAAGAAATACATTTGATATACATTTGGCATAATTTGTAACAAAATTATTTGTTATATAATTAGCACCAATTGTTTTAAAGACAAAACATATTGTTAAATGTTAAGTACATAAACGTTGAACTAAATGTATAATTATTTATATCTATGTAGTAATTGCTGTGATGTCGGGCCTATTAAAGCGGTAACTAATGAACGTCTGTCTGAAGTAAAACCAAGAATAATTATTTCTAATTTTAATTGACATTTCGTTGAATATCTAATTATATTTATTCTTTGAAATTCTGTTTAAAATCATGTAATAATTGTTAAACAATGCAATAAATTCCATGATTTATTCTACCGTATTCTATACGATTTTTATGATTTAATACTTGTTATAATCTTATTAATTCCATATGTTTTCTATAGTCACAGACAGAATTAACTTATTTGTTATTAAGCTAAAATTCAATGATGAATGTATACATTCAAGTTTACCTATGACAAAAAAGTTAATGCTGTCTGTGACTATAGAAAACATATTATACATGTTAGTAATTTAACAATATAGCTAACCATATAGTTTAATGAAATTTAATTAATAGTAAATCATGATGCTATTGTATTAACTTGATGAAAATCTGGCACTATTTTATATAATTAATCTTATCTGATAATCGATTCAAATCCACACCTTTTTAACTAAAATATCTTATTTTTACAGTTAATTACATTTATGTTTAAAAATAATACAGATTTTTGAGTCGAAAACATTAATTTCATTATAAGTTTTTTGATAGTAATCCAAGAATTACACAAAACCTGTTGTTTCGCAACACATTATATGTTATTTTGTGACATAAAAATACATTACGTTATAATATGTTACAAATTATATAAAATTATTGCATAATATATTTACTTGAATACCGTTTTAATGTCATATATTAATTAATAATAACCGTTTTGTCGTCATAATCATTAATTCATTGGTATATTTTGTAATGTAAATACGAGATTAGTTACAGAATAAAATATTCTATGCACTAAAAATAACTAGCGCATTTTGATTTTGCTGAAATAACCTCTTTGTGTTAGTTTTTACTTAACAAACAAATAGTTTTGTATGCAATATATGAACAAAAATGATTGACATTTTTTCATGAATAGCAGTTTTGGACGGCATGCATAATTATTTTTTGCATGGTTATTAATTACTTACTAACCAATAAACATAATTACATTAATAATGTTAATATAAATTACATAAATTAGTACTTTAACTTTAAAAAATATTTAATCTACCATAATAAATTAATAATAATTAAATTATACATACTTTGGACAAAAGCTTTTCAACATTAACCACACTTCCGGCTACCGCTGCCGTGAATGGACTGCCGGCCACTTGTCTGCCGTTAAACCTGACGGTAATCTTATAATCGCCAGCAGTTAACGGGAAATAATAGGCCTCGCAATTACCATCATCGTTAAGCGCCGCGTAATCGGTAATAACATCGGGCTTTACCCCTCCCGGGCCCGACACCGAGTAGCTCAGGCCCTCGTCGAGCACACTGATAGGGGCACCCGACACGTGGATCAGGCATTTTTTCCCGGTCTCCCCCGACTTCAGCCCCGGACCAAACACTTTGATTTGCGTGACGTCTACTTCAGCCATAAATCAATTGGTTTTTTGGTTGTTTTTAACGATAATATATTTTTTTGGTGAAAAGTTATGTGTTTTCACTTTAGGAGTCGTGAACTACTTGTGAAAATAAATCGATAGTAAATTGTTTGTGAATTAGTTGGCAATTCTGTATTGAAAAACAGTTTTAAAGTTAATGGGCAAGATTGTTTTGATGGTATACGAGAAACGAGTGGTAAAATACTGTATAAAAACACAATTCAAAACAAAATTTATTTATTTATAAACATTAAATGCAAAACAATTCTTCATTTATATGTTTAATATTAAGCACAGAATCCGACAATTTATTTAACTATTAAACAAAAACAAATATTAAAATTATTGAAAACAAAAATATTATAAACAGAATTATAATAAACGCTTTGATTATAACATGAAATACACATGTAATCAGTATTTCAAACAGT